AAGTATTGTTCCTTGTTAGAGTGTGTTAATTTCAACATTTACTATTACTATTATTATTATTACTACTACCACTACTAGTAGTAGTCGTAGTATGGTTCAGTACTGTTTTTTTTAATAAAGCACTATTTTAGTTTTTGTTCAGTATCCATTTTAAAAACTATTGGTTAATTAATCGGTATCGGCCAGTGTGGTCCATCCTAGCTATCGGTATCTGCAAAATCCACTATCGGTCGACCTCTAATATTTACACTGTCTGAATCGTTCCTTATTCCCCATATAGAAAATACTAATTCTGTGAACAAGTGACCTATTTCAGCCGCAGTTTCAGCGTCTATTTATAGTGTAGGAGGCGGGACATTTCAGATTCTAGAGAGCATTTGATTGGACAGAAAGTTTGATGAGAAGAAGTGCAGGGTGACGTCATCAAAACCTCTGATTCATATTGGCGGAAGTGAGAGACTGCTTATATCTTCTAAATATGAATTTTGCCATAGTTTTGGAGCACACTAGCTTATAGATAACTATACGGCTAACATATAGTCTAGCTTACCTTTACAAAGCTCATGCGGATGGTGCACATCTTGGTGAGTTCATAGACGGCTTCAAAACCGTGATTGACGGACTGTGTCAAGAGCTCAGCAAACTCCTGGTTGTTGAAGATCTTTAGGCCGCAGAGACTGGGAATCTTGCATACAGTGGTGGGGTGGAAACCATGGTGATAGTTGCAGTTGCGACTCTGTACAAAGATACTGCTGTCGCTCAAACATTCAGCGTATACCTCCCCTCCCACATAGTACAAATGGACTCCTGCAAAATATATGAAAAGGTGATTGTGAGTTTATATTATATCAATATTTAGCTTATTAACAGCATTTCTGAGACAGGCCATTTCATCAGTATCATGTTACTATCATATCAACTCAATGTCATATTTTAGTGCTTTATAATAGTGCAATTCAACACACAATAGGTAGATACTATAGAATAGTTGTTTTATGTAGAGATCATTTCAGTGACAAGTCAAACCTTTTCCGATGTGGCGTCGAGTGTTCTCAATGGTCGAGTTGCGGTTGACATTCGACAGCAGACCAAGGCAGAAACGGTTACGGTTGTTGGAGGGGTCGGTAAAGCCGTCCACCAGTACACTGGTTGAGGAGGCCTGGAAAGCCTCTCCCACACGATTATTCAGCTCATAGTACACAATGGAGCACCAGTGTTTGGGTTCCGCATATGCCACAGGCTGAACATCTGCACAGATGGTTATGAACTCATTGAACACAAGCACACATACACTTACTCCATTAAAATAAAGTAGTATGGTGTGAAAATTAGAATACAAGTAACTCTTAAGATCACCAAGGCTGCATTTATTTGATCAAAAATCAAGTGAAAACAGTAATACTGTGAAATATTACAATTTCAAAAAAGTGTTTTCTATTTTAATATATTTTAAAATGCAATTTATTCCTGTGATGCAAAGCTGAATTTTCAGCATCATTACTCCAGTCTTCAGTGTCACATGGTCCTTCAGAAATCATTCTAATATGCTGATTTACTGCTCAAAAAAACATTTCTTAGTATTATCAACAGTCTTGGGGGTAACGCATTACAAGTAACGCGAGTTACGTAATCAGATTACTTTTTTAAAGTAACGCATTACTTTTTAATTTACACGAAAATATCTGAGGCACTTTTTCAAAAAAAGTAACGCCAGTTACTTTGTTTTCCCATTTATTGACCGACAAGTCTCCTGTCCCCATATTGGGAGAAATCGGAAGTACAGAGGCGTTGTGTGCGCTGTGTGAACATGATGTAGTTCTAGACTAAATGTGAATGTGCATTAATTCATCCCACTCGCAAAAAAAACAGATTTAGTATTCATCAAAATTAATTAAAACAGTGAAATGCAAACTCAGAATATGACGCAAACCTGCAATAATTAAATATGTTAAATAACACAAATGTATCTAATCCCATTTTATTAACCAATATCTTTGCTGCTGACCTTTGATGATCCAGTTCAACCATACTAATAAGCAAAAATGACTTTAGATAAACTAACAACTGTGCTTCATCGTTTTTTTATTGCTGAAGAGTGTTTATTCTCCTGCATTCTACTGTACAGACGTGAATTTACTTTTGCTTCAGCCTGAGGTTTATTCATTACACATTTTGGTGTGAAAGGGCTTTTATATTTGCTATAAATAGAACTTCTTATATTAAAAACAATCAAGTCAAGTCAAGTCAAGTTTATTTGTACAGCGCTTTTCACGATACAAAT